TTCTGATGAATTTCAGAAAACTTTCACAGGAAAGGAAAAAGGAAGCAGAAGAGAAGAATCCTAGATTATTAGTGGATGACAGTGAAGAAATGAGTGAAGTACACAAGTGGACATCCAGGCTAGTAGAACAGTTCTCAGCAACTAATCAAGATATACTAAGTTTCTTTGCAGGATTAATAAGAAGTGAACTCATTTTCGAGATGGCAGACCTTAAATGCCATAGTAAAAGAATTGGAAAAGAAGCAAGAAGATAGATCAAGAAGCTACAAATTACAACTTGTAACCAGTTCTGAAAAAAGGTTTAGAATGCAAGATGTGAAAGGATGATAAAATGGGAACAATTACAAGGAATCTAAAAGAAAAATAAGATAAAAAGATCCCCTAACCTTCCAGGTGCCAAAACTATACAGCTAGAAAGGAAAACTCTGATATTGGAAGAAGGAAACTTAGAAAATAAAGACCTAAAAGATATTTTATTAAGAGGGGTTAGATTTGGGATGAGATGATTGGGTTTTGAGTAATATCAGAACTTAAAGAGTAATCTGCAGTAGTGACTTGTAGACAATGATATTAAGAGTTGGAAGGGTTTTCACTTGAACTTCTAATGGAGCGATAAATCACTTCCAAAGTTGCACTTAAAGTAATAATTGCAAAAATGTGTAAACTAGTTAGCGTTTTTTTAGCTTTAGTGATTCATATTATATATATAGTTTACAAATGTTTAATAAAGCACATAACTAGCCTGACAGAGGGTTAAAAAAAAAAAAGAACATGTTTTGTATTGTCTGTAATTGATGATGTGCTATATCTCCTATAAGGTTCTTTTGGTTCACTCTGGTACACCAGTTATTGACATGTAGCTGTACTTGTCTATTCCATATGTGCATTATATTGTATTCATGTTTATTGTATTGCATGTTGTTAGGTATTGTATTTGCGAGTCCTATCATGTGTTTGAAAGTTGTTGCCAGTTTGCTCATTAGCTAATTGTAGGTTTGTCTGGTCAGGACTATATCATTGCATAAATATTCTATACTGGGCATTAAGATGTGGTTGATTATGTATTGTGTTTGTTTGTCAGTAATTCTTTTCATTCCAATTAATATATGTGTGCTGGCTATCTTCTGCTTTATTAAAAATTTTTGATAGTCCTTGCATCCAGAGCTATCATATCAAATTTATAAGATTCTGACTGGTGTGTTGGGAGGACATCCTTGTATTTCTGATTGTTCATCAGTACTCCTTGTTCCAAGTCTTTCTTTGTGCCATTTATAATGATCAATTGAGACTTATTTGGGTTGATTTTGATATCATTGATATGATAAAATTCTTCTGCAATATGGATAATTCTTTATAAATCTGTTCTGTTGTTTAATATTCATGTTATCTTATCCATGTATATATTGACTGCTATATTCATAGTTCTCTTTTCCCATCCTTTTTTAAGATCTGTACATGTTTTTGAGCTGATTGTGTATCCTTTGTGTTGTTGACTAATTATGAATAAAAGGGGATTATAGAAAATATACCATAGCAGCAGTGATATTGTGTTTCCTTGATCTATCTCATCTCTTACCTGATACTCTTCTGTTAAGCTATGACATGTTATGACTGTATTGTGTCAGTCTTGAAATATGCCAAGCAAAACTATTATTATTGTGTCTGGTATCTTGATCTTTTTAAGGGTCAACTGTAACATCTCTAAATTGACAGAGTCATATACTTTCAATATATCTTGGCTTAGAATCCAGGCTTGTTGTTTAGTTTCTTTTGTATGTTCAATGATACTGCTGATTATATGAATTGGGTCTTGAGTACTGCTGCCTAGAAGTGCTGCCTAGTTTAGTTTTGATAGTAATCCTTTGTGAGTCAGACACCTGGCTAATCTGTCTGTGATAATTTTGGTGAATATTTTTTTTCCTACATCTAGTAGCGTGATTGGTCTGGTTATGTCTAGATTATGAGCCTAGTTTTTAGGCTTTAGTATTGGGTATATGTGTCCTTTGCTCCATTCCCTGGGTATAATATCTTGTCAGATAATCATGTTAAAAATCACTTTTAGTTCTTCTTTTGCTTTGTTTTTCAAATATTTGTATGCTAGGTATGGTATCTAATTGGGACCTGGAGATAATTTTGAACTGCATTGTTTGATTACTTATATAAGTTCTTCTGTTGTAATCTCTTTAATATGTCTTTATAATAATGTTGCTTAATATGTGATTTGGGTCTGTATTCAGATTGCCACCTGGAATGTCACTCTAGGTTTTGAATATTTTTATGTGATGTCCAGTTGTAAAAGTGTTCCTTTATCTTGATTTTGATTTCTGCAGGTTCCGTAACTATCTGTACTTTCTTTCCTTGTTGAAAGATAAGTTTGTCTAATTGTATTTGTCTTCTAGGTATTTTCAAAATACAGTTGATTATAGCATATTTGTCCTTGTCATATTGCTTTTGTCTTATTATGATTCTTCTTTTTATTGTCTTGTTTTGTCTTCAATGTATAATGACCTTAGCAATTGTTTTGTGTGCCTTGATACTTCCATATATCTCCTTAAGTCATTCTTTGAGATATGTATTAGAGTATTCAGTTTCTAGTTTGTTGAGTGTGATTACCAAGTTTGGAACTGATCTTTGTATGTTTGCTGGGATCTGAAATGGCTGATGTGGTTTTTCTTCTTTTTTATCTGTCAGGTGTTGTCTGACTTGTATGAGGAATTTCTGTAACTGTATTATGAGTGGAATCTCTTTTATGTCTTTGACTTGATATCTTTTTCTCCAATAGGATTTCTTTTTTGGGATGTATTTTTTGGCTGCCTTGTGAATGATATCACTGAACTGATTCTATATATAGTCTAAAGACTGGTGACTTAAGTATCCTGTTTGTATATTGCACTCGATGTGATCACTGAACTTCTACCATTGTAGTGCTATAGCAAGTTGCCAGTTGTATCTGTGATTGTGTTTATAGTATGTTATCTGTATGGGTGTATTAAGGCTCCATACTTTTATTTCCACTATCATTGTGATATGGTCACTTGAGATTGATGATATGGTAAAATCTTGATAGTGGCTATCCTTGATTGCCATGTTGGCTATGGGCTCATCCATATTTGATCGATCCTGCTACTACTTTTCCCTCTGTTCCATATATATTCTCTTTTTATAGAGTTGTGCATTCTATATATGTCTTCTAAGTTGTTGTCCAGAAGAATTTGTATTTGTTTTCCTGAAGGGTACTATTTTTTTGTTATTTTTGTATCACTATAATTGTCGATTGTTGGGTTGGAAACCCCATTCATGTCTCCTACTACCATTAAGTGCCATCTCTTTTCTGTCACTTCTTTAATCCACTTATTGAGAGTGTTGAGTACCATTTGTTTCTCTCCTTCCATGTTTTGTACTGAAAAGTATATACCAATTATTCTTATTTTCTCTTTGTGTGAGAAGGTCAGGTTAGCTGCTATAAGTCTACCCGCAAGTATTTTGTAGTTATAGATTCAATATGATATTTTTGTTGATCATGATATTTAGGCCTTGTTCACTGGTTTGTGATTCTTTGTGGGTCCATATAGTTTGGAATTTTTTGTGTTGCCAGTGTTTTGATTGTTGGTGTGAGTTATTTGTCTCTGTAGTAACTATGATATCCCAGTCTGCTATATTGCAAAAATTAAACCATGTTTCGCATTTGTGTGTTTCTACTAAGCCTTGAATATTGGATGTTATGACTTTCCATATTGGTTTGTGTTCTCTGTGTGTTGTTATGGATACCATTGTATTAGATGTCATATTGTTTGTATTTAGATTGTGATCTGAATTTGTGATTTGATTGTCTATTCTTTCCATTTATTGTTCTGCTGTATTATAAGAATTTGTTGTCTGGTTATCTCTAGAATTATCTAATTCTTCTAATGATTTGGTGCTTTGATTGCTATCCATTATTGTCTATATAAGGGGGAGGGTATGCTACCTGAGATAGAGTTGAGTATGGTATTATACATTTGCTCTATATGTTTGTCTAGCTTCTGTATAGATTACTGAATGTATTGTTGTTGGATACAAATATCTTGAGTACTGTTTTAGAGTGTTGTATCTGTTGCTTGATTTTTTTCTGTGTCGAGAGGGAAGTATCTTCATCTATTTGCTTTGTGTAGTCTTCATTATATGTTTCTAAGTTAACTATACATTCCTCTAGGTCAGCTATATTTTCTTTTATCTCTTGGATCTCTTTCTTAATTGTTTTAAGAATGTATAGTACTTTTGCCATAGCTGTTTGAGGGGGTTGAAACTGTGTTCCATCTTCTTTTGGTAGTCTTGCTACTACTGCATGGGAGCCTGGCCTGGCTTTCCTTTGGTTGTTGCATGTAGTTACCCTTCACCTTATAGTTTCAATACATACTGACTTGAATCTGTTGTATAGTTTATCAAATCTATTGGCTTGTTCTGTGTTATACTAGTTCCAGTGGGTCCTTCTTTCTTTGATTGGGCATTGAGTGACTAGGTGTGTTGCACTTCTACAGATAGTGGATAGTTTTATGTCAATCAGTTTCCATTCTGTTTGGATTTCTCCAAGAAGACCATTCTGTATTGTAGCTACTTCCAGGTTTTTTTGATTCATAAAACCAATGATTGCAAAATACTTGCATCTATATAACATGTACCTGGGGATGTAGCATGTCTTAGCTCCAGTTTGTTCACAGATAAGTCTGAGATCGAAGGCCGTATCTCAAGCTCAACTTGAAAAATGCCACTTTTGCAAAAGGAAACTCATATTTTCGAAACATATTATCAATCAATATGGAATTCAACCAGATCCAATCAAAGTTGAAAAGGTAAAAAACTTTGTCATACCAACCAATACTACTGAACTGATAGAATTTATTGGACTAGCATCTTATTACCACTACTTAATACCAAGCTTTGCCCCATAGCTAAACCAATAAATAAGCTTTTGAGAAAAAATACTCCATATCTTTGAAATGAAAAATGTCAATCAGCATTTAAGGAACTCAATAAAAAATTAATTATTGCATCAATCTTGACTTATCCAAATTTCTCCAAGCCTTTTTTCCTATATACTAATGCTTCTTACAAAGAACTGGAAGCTGTCTTAGCTCAATTGGATGAACAAGGAAATAAACTTATGATAGCTTATGCAAGCTGAAGTCTTGTGAACCTGAAATAAATTACTCCACCACTGAAATTAAATATCTTACTATTGCCTGGATCATAAAATACTTTTGTCCTTATATCTATCTTCAGGAATTTACTCTTATTACTAACCACTCAACTCTTCAATGGATGATTAATAATCCTATTTCAAACAAAAAGACAATATGATAAATACTAACTATTATAGATTACTCCTTCAAAATTCAATACCAGAAAGACAGGAAGCATCAAAATGCTAATGCATTATCAAACTCTTTTTAACTTCAACACTTTAATTATGGATTTGGAAACTTATCAGCAACTATATACCTATTTCTCTACTGGAAAACTACCTCTGAACTTAATGGCAAAAGAAATAATTTCTTTCAAAAAACAAGCAACACATTATCTTACTCAATACTACACATTATTCCGATGCAATATTAAAAATCAAATAGAATCACTTAAAGTTATTAAGGTAACTGAATTGGAATCAATCTTATATAACCTTCATGAAAACATTCTTACTAAACATTTTGAAATTGAAACAACCTATAATTGAGCAAAAAGTCAATATTATTGACCTAATTAGTACAAAACTATTGCTAAATATATCAAAAGTTGTGATACTTGTTAGAGACAAGAAGCCTATATACCATGTGAGGAACTTCACCCTATACCTATTAAACAACCTTTTGACTGCATGGAAATTGATATCATTGAACCTTAGTCAATAACTTTTCAAGGCAATCGATATATTGTTATAGCTACTAAATATCTTATCAAGTGGCCTGAAACAAAAGCTCTCAAGGATACCAAAGCTATCACCATTGCAAAATTCATATATGAGAATATTATATGTCGACATGGATACCCTAAAGTTCTTTTATCTGATCAAAAAACACTATTTGTTAATGAGTTAGTGGATGCTTTATACAAATTAATAACTATTCATCATTGACTCTCAGTTGCTTACTATCCACAAACCAATGGATTAACTGAACGATTCAACAAAACTCTCTGTAACATTCTGGTTAAATATATTAGTAATTATGGTGATACAAAGAATACTTTTTTGGACTCAGTACTATTTATCCATCACTTTATTCAAAATAATACCACTAAATATTCACTATTCAAGCTACTTTATAGCCATGAAGCAAGGTTACTTATTGATCTTCAGGATAACAAACTGGAATCTAATGACATGTTGAATCAACAACTACAGTAACATATTGAATTTATTACTAGTGATCTTGATAATTTAAGGCTTAGCACATAACAAAATATTGAAAAAGTACAGGACAAACAAAAACAATATTATGATTAGAGAATCAAAGTTCAAAAATTCAATATAGGAGACAAAGTTTTATTATATGAATCAGCAAAACAAAGGTACATGGCAATAAATTTAAGGAAAAATAGACAGGACCATATTATATTCACAACATCATCATATCAGGAGCATACAAATTAAGGAACATGGAGGACAAAGTACTCAAAAGAGCAATGAACACTGATCAATTGAAAAAATATTATGAATGATCAATTTGGGAGCCCTGTATCATTACATAGTTATAGGTCATTATATATTATAGAAAAAATAAAAACATTATTAGTATTAATTATTATATATATTTATATTTGTACTAAGTGACTTATTGAATCCATATATATAGCTGTAGACTACCTTGGTTTTCTGGAAACATAGAAAACCTATAACATATGCCTTCAATATAGTCAGCTATTTAGCACCAAATACAGGATAGTGTTTGAGGCTATGGTATTCAAAAAAGTTATTTATTTTAGTTATTTCTTTTTTTTTTTTTTTTTTTTTTAGTCCAACTTGACTGGAGTAAATTTATTAAGTATTTGTGATAGTACAGTATTGATTACATGAGTGATTCATCTTAACCTATTTTCTATACTACCTACCCAATGAATACTCCAATTTTGCCATAGTGTGACACTATTTTATCAGTTGCCCTACTGTGCCCGGGCCACATAGCGTCTGATGTTCACTATGGAACTTGTATTATTATATTTTTCAGGGGGCTTGATATGTGTATTCCTTAGATTTTTATGGTTTTTGTTTCACATTCTTGTTTGTGTGTGCCATGGTAGATCCCTACCATGTTTAGTCCTCAGAAGGCTGGTTGTACTCTGATATGTGCAGACCCTATGGTCTTGTGCTAATACCCTGACCATTCAATAGTGTTGCCTTCATTGATTAACCAATGGTCTTCCATTGCTTCATTCTTAACTACTCTTCAAATATGATCTACAGGGGTTTTCCTTGATAACTTTGTAGCGGATTGCTCCTCCCATTGGATTGGTTACCTTGATGATTGTTTCCGAATTTCTTCTCCCAGGGTTTGCCCTTGTGGTTCCCATCGTGATACTAATGCTAATCACCAGCCTGGCAGATAGCTGTCCTCTCTGGTAGCCATTGGTTTCATGATCATGATAAGATTTTCCATTAATTGAAGTTACAGTCCATATGTTTTTGATTGATACAGATGACTGAAGTCTCCCAGATTTCCCATGAGG